CTGGTTCCGAATGGCCAGATCATTATGTAATGACATGAAGAGGTGCTGCCCTGGAACAGCACTGTCACTTTAAATGTGGGAACCAATACAGCAAAGAAATAAATGCCAAGACACAAATGAATAGGGTAAATCAAGATATATATATATATATATATTTACAGAGAACCAAAAGACAAAACAAAACAATATATATACACAATGCCACAAAATATATACCATAAATCAGAATAAGCACGAATCGTGGAGGCAACATATACTGGAACAGTCCTTTGGTATAAGGGCAGGATTGTGCAGTTACCACAAGTAGCAGGTAGGGCACAGATCCAGAGTCACAAGACTAATATACTGACACCAGGAAGCAAGATCAGAAGCAGAATAAATAAACAAGGCTGCAGGGTCAGGATCAGTGATAATAAAGCAAAGAACACGGAACCAGAACACAGGATCGGAGGGTAGAGGAACGAAGGACCAAGAAGACACAGTAACGCAGGATCAGGAGGACACAGGACGAAGACCAGGAGAACACAGGATACTTGAACAAAAATGAGCTGCATGGTCAAGTTGCCAGAAAGAAGCCGGTTACAATATGCCCGACAACACCTTGACACGCCTGAAAGCTTCTGGCACACTGTAATTTCTAGTGACGAGACCAAAATAGAGCTTTATGGTCACAACCACGAGTGCTATGTTTGGAGAGGGGTCAACAAGGCCTATAGTGAAAAGAATACCATCCCCACTGTGAAGCATGGTGGTGGCTCACTGATGTTTTGGGAGTGTGTGAGCTCTAAAGGCACGGGAAGTCTTGTGAAAATTGATATCAGAAAATACTGGCAGACACTTTGCCTAGGATGCTCTTGGACTTTCCAGCATGACAATGGTCCTAAGCACAAGGCCAAGTTGACCCTCCAGTGGTTACAGCAGAAAAAGGTGAAGGTTCTGGAGTGGCCATTACAGTCTCCTGACCTTAATATCATCAAGCCACTCTGGGGAGATCTCAAACGTGCGGTTCATGCAAAACGACCATGACCTGGAGACATTTTGCCAAAACGAATGGGCAGCTAAACCACCTGCAAGCATTAGGGGCCTCATAGACAACTATTACAAAAGACTGCATGCTAACATTGATGCTAAGGGGGTTATGCAGACTTTTGGACAGGGGTCATTTCATTTTTTATTTTATTGCCATGTTTTGTTTTATGATTGTGCCATTCTGTTATAACCTTCCATTGAATATGAATCCCATAAGAAATAAAAGAGCTGTGTTTTGCCTGCTCACTAATGTTTTCTTACAAAATGGTCCATATATTACCAATTCTCCAAGGGTATGCAAACTTTTGAGCACAACTGTAGATTTTACTAAAACATGAAATATAAAAAGAAAGAAAAGTTCATACTGGGATTAAAATATATTTAACGTAGAGGATAGTCGGTTAAATAATCGATGCAGTCAGGGTGTTAATCTTAGCAGTGGAGGCAGCCCCACTCCAGTACCGCTCGAGCATCAAATAGGATGTAATGCCGTCTCCTGAAATACCTGTAAGAGGCTCAGCACATTGATTGATGCCAACCTACACATCACAGCATGGCAACGCCGGACACAGCTTGATGCATCTCAAGCAGGGGCTCCTAATGATAAAGTAAGCTCGGATTTGATTCAGTGCCACACACAGAGACACTGCATGGACCCACAGAGATTGCTTTATGGAAAATACTAAACTGGAGTAAAGACACAGGGCAGAGAATTCTAGTATTGGGTAAACGTGGTATTTACAATAGACCAGGGATCTCGCAATTGGTTTATTAAATATACACAAAATAATATTATCAATTAAAACATGAAAACTATTCTCTGCAGAGGGAACGTGACTCATTTTTGTTAAATGTTTAATTGGTAATTTCATTGAAATAATATAACATCTTCATACGGCACCTATTCTCCAAGCTGAGTGGGCACGGCGGGTACTCAGGTAATCTAGAATGAAACGGCAAAGTCAGTAACGGGAGACGGGCCGGACGTCAGTAGAATTAGCCAGCAGTAAATACCTGTATACAAACTGACACTGAAATCATCACATTGGCTCAGCCTCGGCACCTACATTATATCAGAAATAGGGGAATTATCAAAGCAAAAAAGATCTATTCTGGTTGCAAAGTCTAATTTGTTTCCATGGTGATTGCTCTTTATTTAGCAAACCATTCTAGTCCCACCTAAAGTGCTGTCTATATAAACCTTATCCCTTGCTGTGTTTATCTTAATATTAGTTTTTTTCCCGTTAACAATGAGTACAGAAAGTTAACAGTCTGAGCTAATAGATTTGGCTGTATTGCACTTAGTGTTCATTGGGTGACGTTTGCACCAGGTTAGATGATATTCCCACTGACGCTGAACTCTCCATGGCAAACAAACATTTACAGTTTATGGCAGCTCTGAAATCTCCAGCAAACATTATTTTTTCCATTTACCATGCTGATTCTTGTGGAGACCAGTGGTTGGACCAGCTGCCTGTAGCAATTTGTTTGGAATTCATTGAGAATTGACGGATCGCATCAATTGATGCTCCTAGTGCTTATCGAGGACTCCAAGCACTCCATCAGACACCATAAGCACTGTCGAAGCTTGACTGGTGTCTCGCCGTCCTCCACCCACCCTGGACCCAGGACCAGGATCCAGCTTCCAGTGGGTGAAACTCTCCTACTCCAGAAAGTATAGCAGGAACAGCTCTTATAAGAGATTGTGATTAGAACCCAGGGGAGTATAATGAGTATAGCAATCCCCAAAGTGAATATAGCTGTCCCCCCCACACATGAGAAGAGGCTCTATGTTGAGGATGAAGAGGAACTGATTTTAATGGTGCCATACTTTTAATAAGTACGCCTTTATCGACCTGATGGTAGACTGATTTACAACACCACAACCAATAACAATAAGGTTACAAGGCACGATACTCACACACAGCACTCAATCCCTCCCCTCTGCCTGGGAGATAATTGAGGCAGATACTGTATTAACTCAATTATCTCCAGGCAGAAAAAAAAACACATTATTATAAAACTCCAAGAGTACCCCAAAACACATAATATTCCCACAAATGTTACATCACCCGATAGCCCTGATCTGGGTGACCAAATCACCCAGATCAGTTCAGGGGTTCAGGAATTCTATGGAAGTCATTTATTTGACCGACCGCAGGCATGGTCCCATGCCCAAAACAGTTCCAGAGAATCAGGGTTTGTGGTCGGTCTAGTTCGGTAATTTGAAAATGAACAAACGACCGAACAGAGTCAATAGTCTTACCCTGGAGCTTGTTCCCTTCATCCAGACATATGATTTCACTGAACAGTGCCCTTCTAAATTGTATAGAACCGAACGCAGGCGATGATGGAAGTCCAGCGGTGTTTGGGAGTTTCTGTATCTGATTTTAGTTCCATGAGATTCATGCACAAACACTGCTGCCTGCGTTCATGCGAACAAGATTTGTCCATAGGAATTGCGGCCACCCAGACGAACAATTAGAACACTGCGTTGAGAAACGTTCCAAGTTGTTAATAGGTGTTATCAAGCTCCAGGGTGGTCTCTGGTTCATGCGGTTGTTCAAGAATTTGAAGTGCCGCTTCGAGAATTCGAAGTGTAGCCATTCAAGTCCAAAAGGCACAAACAGTGGTTTTAACCAAGGTTTATCACAGGGACCATAGTCATAGGGTAGGAGGCTGGCAAACAGGCCCCTCCAAGAACCAGTGACGAGGTTACTTTCACCACAAGAATCATATAGATAATAGCAGAACGCAGACACAGGCTACCCTGAACAGACATTTGTAGCCGGGCCATTGACTGGGCACGTGGAATCCAGCCTGGAACCCAAAGTTATTAATATTATTACAGCAGTGGTAACATCACTGCCTTAGAAAACCAGGTTCAGGCCACTTGACAAAGAAACACATCCGCCTACCTCACCTACCTGCCCGTCTGAGCAAGCTTTCTTCAAATATCCACTTTCTATAATTGTAACGCTGACCCCAGGGGGAGGGGGGGTGGGGGGTGTTGGTGCTAGCTAAATGCAAATAATAATAATAATAATAATAATAACTATTCGCTGATTCAATTATCCCTGTGCGAGGGCATGAACATTTTACTTCATCCTTAAAGTGACACTCCACTGCCCAAATACAAAAATAAAATTCACCGTTTAGTAGATATACCCCCGTGAAAGCATACTTTATTTATGCACTGTTTATTAAAAGGAATATCTAAAAACAGCTTGTAATAGCTGCAGATCTCTTGTCTGCAACCTAACCCCGCCCATACTTTCTGTGGCTGTCCAATCAAAGGCTTCCCAATGCAGCTTAATGAGAAGTCTCCGCTTGAGTTCAGTGCAAATAAGCTAACCAAACCAGGAAGTAACAGGACCTGCTGTCTGACTGACAGCCAGGGGGCTGTAACAAGGTTCATTTATAAAAATGTCAATTTCTATTGAAATCAGTAAAAAAAAAAAAGAGGACACACTCTCCACACAAAGCATTTCAGCAAGCTGAAGGTTCTTTTAAAATAAATATTCTATAATCTAATAAAGGCAAGATAAAATGAAGGGATTTCCTATGAGTTCCCTGAATGTTACTCTGCTGCTGAAGTGTTCAACATGGAATTTCTGTACTGAGGAAATGTTAAATTTGACACCAAACGCCCAGAAATAATCTTTATAGAGGCAGCGGGTGATCTGTGCTGCAACGCCAGGAAAGCTCTGGAAACGTGAACACAGCGGGATGTACTGAATGCTTAGTGTTCAGTCATGTCTGTGGACAGACAGATACCCTTACTGAAATAAGCTGCTATGTCTGGTAGTGCTGGGAGTTGTAGAACTATTAAAACCGAGCAACATTATGTTTTAGCATATTATCATATTGCCTATAAATCCATTTATTGCCCTAAGCATTATCAATTGCCCCCCGGTTTTCCTGTATGTTTAGTTCTTACTGCATTCTCTATGGTTGTTTTTTTCTTTAACCTAAGGGATCCGTATAAACCGAGCCTCGCACGAGGGATCCGTATAAACTGAGCCTCGCACGAGGGATCCGTATAAACTGAGCCTTGCACGAGGGATCCGTATAAACCGAGCCTCGCACAAGAGATCTGTATAAACTGAGCCTCGCACGAGGGATCCGTATAAACTGAGCCTTGCACGAGGGATCCGTATAAACCGAGCCTCGCACAAGGGATCTGTATAAACCGAGCCTCGCACAAGGGATCTGTATAAACCGAGCCTCGCACGAGGGATCCGTATAAACCGAGCCTCGCATGAGGGATCTGTATAAACCGAGCCTCGCATGAGGGATCCTTATAAACCGAGCCTCGCATAAGAGGTCCTTTTAAACCGAGCCTCGCATGAGGGATCCTTATAAACGGAGCCTCGCACAAGGGATCCTTATAAACGGAGCCTCGCACAAGGGATCCTTATAAACCGAGCACCGCACGAGTGATCCTTAAAAACCGAGCATCGCATGAGTGATCCTTATAAACCGAGCACCACACAAGGGATCCTTATAAACCAAGCATCGCATGAGTGACCATTTATTTGGTACATATCATCCCTGACGCCTGGATGCCTATATTTAGCAATGACATTTGATGTATAAAAAATAATGACACATTAGCATTCATTTTATCACGTGCAAGAGTTTTATTTCTCCTTAAAGGGACACTATGAACAACTACAGCTTACTATACAGTATACAGCTTAATGTACGGTATACAGCTTAATGAATGGTATACAGGAGTAGTCCCAGAAGATTGGAAGTTAGCAAATGTTGTGCCCATTTACAAGAAAGGTAATAGGGAGGAGTCGGGCAACTATAGGCCAGTAAGCCTTACTTCAGTAGTGGGGAAAGTAATGGAAACCATGTTAAATATTATATAGGATTGTTGAACATCTAAAAACACATGGATTTCAAGATCAGAGACAACATGGATTTACTTCAGGGAGATCATGCCAAACTAATCTTATTGATTTGGTAACTAAAATTATAGATCAGGGTGGTGCAGTAGACATTGCTTACCTAGATTTCAGTAAGGCTTTTAACACTGTTGCACATAGAAGGCTTATCAATAAACTGCAATCTTTAAGTTTGGATTCCAATATTGTTGAATGGGTTAGGCAGTGGCTGAGTGACAGGCAACAGAGGGTTGTAGTTAATGGAATATATTTGAAGCTTGGACTTGTCACCAGTGGGGTACCTCAGGGATCTGTACTTGGACCCATTCTCTTTAATATTTTTATTAGTGATATTGCAGAAGGTCTTGATGGTAAGGTATGTCTTTTTGCCGATGATACTAAGATATGTAACAGGGTTGATGTTCCAGGAGGGATAAGCCAAATGACAAATGATTCAGTGGTCAGAGTTGTGGCAACTGACATTTAATGTGGATAAGTGCAAGATAATGCATCTTGGAAGTAAAAACCCAAGGGCAGAGTACAGAATATTTGATAGAGTCCTAACCTCAACATCTGAGGAAAGGGATTTAGGGGTGATTATTTCTGATGACTTAAAGGTAGGCAGACAATGTAATAGAGCAACAGGAAATGCTAGCAGAATACTTGATTGTATAGGTAGAGGTATTAGCAGTAGAAAGAGGGAAGTGCTCATGCCATTGTACAGAACACTGGTGAGACCTCACTTGGAGTATTGTACACAGTACTGGAGACCGTATCTTCAGAAGGATATTGATACTTTAGAGAGAGCTCAGAGAAGGGCTACTAAACTGGTTCATGGATTGCAGGATAAAACTTACCAGGAAAGGCTAAAGGATCTTAACATGTATAGCTTGGAAGAAAGACGAGACAGGGGGGATATGCTAGAAACATTTAAATACATAAAGGGAATCAACACAGTAAAGGAGGAGACTATATTTAAAAGAAGAAAAACTACCACAGCAAGAGGACATAGTCTTAAATTAGAGGGGCAAAGGTTTAAAAATAATATCCGGAAGTATTACTTTACTGAGAGGGTAGTGGATGCATGGAATAGCCTTCCAGCTGAAGTGGTAGAGGTTAACACAGTAAAGGAGTTTAAGCATAGGCATAAGGCTATCCTAACTAAAAGATAAGTCCAGGGACTAATGAAAGTATTTAGAAAATTGGGCAGACTAGATGGGCCGAATGGTTCTTATCTGCTATCACATTCTATGTTTCTAATGTTCGATATACAGCTTACTGTGCAGCATACAGCTTAATGTATGATAGACAGCTTTACATAGGTGCTGTTCGCATGAACGTGAACGGTCGACTTGGGTGATTGTACCGACCGGGCTGCCTGGGGGGGGGGGGTAGGAGTGCGCTCCGACACGGCATCCTCGTGGAGTGAGTGAGAGATGCGACGTGGGAGCGCAAGGTAGGTGAGCGAGGGGACAAGGACCTGATACCATTAGACTGAACAAGAGAATGTCACAGTGATCAAAATATTGTCCGATCGCCCGGAGTCGCCATCTGTCATGTAGAGAGAACTTCCTGTCATTCCGAATCTGTACTGTCCTTATTGGTGGGATCAGTGTGATAGGTAAGGTTAGTTACATAGTTACATTGCTGAAAAGAGACTTGCGTCCATCAAGTTCAGCCTTACTCACATATGTTTTTGCTGTTGATCCAAAAGAAGGCAAAAAACCTAGTCTGAAGCGCTTCCAATTTTGCAACAAACTAGGAAACAAATCCTTCTTGACCCCAAAATAGCAGTCAGATGTCTCCTTGGATCAAGCAGCTATTACCCCACTAATTAGAAATTATATCCCTGTATGTTATGTTTTTGTAAGTATTTATCCAATTGCAGTTTAAACCTCTGTATGGACTCTGATAAAACCACTTCTTCAGGCAGAGAATTCCATATCCTTATTGCTCTTACTGTAAAAAAACCTTTTCTTTTCCTTAGATGACATCTCCTTTCTTCCAGCCTAAATGTGTGACCTCGTGTCCTATGTATAGCCCTGTTTATGAATAGATTTCTAGATAATGGTTTGTACTGGCCCCGAATATATTTGTATAATGTTATCATATCCCCTCTGAGGCGCCGTTTTTCCAAACTTTTTGTAACTAAATGCTCCATTCCTTTTATTAATTTTGTAGCTCGTCTCTGCACTTTTTCTAGTGCCATGATATCCTTCTTTAGAACAGGCGCCCAAAATGTATGCCCTCTTTATACATGACAAAATCTTACTGGCCTTAGCAACTGCAGGTTCTCTCAGTAATGGTACAAATGAGCCAAACTATTCTGAGACTTGAGCAGGGACTACCGAACAGAAAGCTGTTGGGTTTCTTATTCTCTGTTTTTGCATCAAAATATTGAGCTACAAGAAAGACAAAAAAAAAAAGAGAACAAATTTTGTTAAATCAAGATAATTTTGAACTATAGACACATTACACAACAAGGACCTGCTATTCTCTCCTATGACTTTCAGCACTTTGTTAGATACTTTTTAGCAAATTTTCAATCATCTTGGACTCGTACAGCTTCCTTCTAATCCTGGTGTCACTGCTCGAAGATCAAGACATAGATATCATAAACACAAGTCCTTGCGGACAATGTATCGCCCATTATTACTGTAACATTGCCCAAGAAACATTTCTACATCGTCTTATCTAATCTACGCACTACGGCCCTTCCCAGCCAGGCAGAATTCATTTCATCCTATGCAGAGATCCCCTGCTGGAAATATTAGCACAGGTTTTAAAGAACAAAAAGGAAGTCGCAGCCTGAGGTATCAAGTGCAGTGTTTGCTTTGGGTCAGTTTAGCAACATGATGGAACAGGGTTTGACAAGAGATTATAAAGCAGGACTCACTTTCCATTTGGAGTATATTCAGAACCCATTTAATGTTTTCAATATATATTTATTAAATCATGGAGAGGTGGGGGGTACAGACAGCGGGCCAGCAGCTGGCGTGGGAAACTGATTCAAGACATGCCTCAAATCCTTCATCGTCTGCAGAGAAAGACAGCTTTTAAAGGAAACAACTCCCATCAATCAAAGCCATCCCATCATAACTGGAGGGCCTGATTTTCTTCTGCCAATATGGCAATCCTTGTATTTGCAACTCTATGTGCTGGCAATGGCAATAAATAAATAAATAAAAAAACAATGCTTGCCTCGAACTGCAGGCTCAAGTCAGACATAGATATATTTATATACCAAAGTGGGAATTTCAATATTCAAAGACCAAAGTAGCCAATCTGACATGGAGCATGTTTCCAGTTCAGCTAATTTGACCTTGAATTTGAAATTCACTTTGAATTCTCATTTTCTTAAAATAACAGAGATGCATGAATGGTCCTGATGGGAGTCGGAGAAGGTTAATGGTTTACGTCCAGCTGTTTGCCTGTAAATCAGAATAGTGGATGCATGGAACAGCCTTTCAGCAGAGGTGTTAAAGTGGGAATGAGAAAGAATGCATTAATGAACACGCTGTTGCTCTCAATGAGGCTCTGTAAGTTCTGTCCAGACGCAGAACAATTGAAATCTCAGACAAAGCTAAAAGGGACACCTCAGACCCCTAAAAGACTCTTAAAATACTTTAGCTTGCTGAAAATCTTTATGTGTGAAGAGTGTATCCTCTTTTTTTCATTTTGCAAAAAGTTCAGATTTCAATAGAAATTGGTACTTTTATAAAATTACACTGGTTACACCTCCCTGGCTGTGAGGCAGACAACAGGTCCTGGTTCAGTTAGCTTATTTACACTGAACTCAATAAGCAGCCATTGCCCAGAGCACCCGCCTTGCAAAGACTTCTCATTGAGCTGCATTGGGATGTCTGTGATTGGACAGTTACAGAAAGCCTGGGCGGGGTTAGAAGGGGAGGCCTTGCTAAGGCAGAAGACAAGAGAAATGCATGTTTTGCAAGCTGATTTTAGATATACCCCGAAAGAAAAATAACTAAATGGAAGCATGTCTTAATTGTGGGTATATCTACTAAACAGTGATTTTTTAAATTTATTTTGTATTTGGGCAGTGCAGTTTCCCTTTCACTTTGGAATTATCAGCAGAGATTACAGAAAGAAAGGAATTTACTCCCTGAATTGCTGGAATAATTTATTCATAACTTATTTATAAACAAAACAAACATAAATACTATACAAACACATTCCTGCATAAGAACACACAGATGCTCATGCTGGTTGATGTAACAATATAATCCCATGACCTGTACATTTACCTTGTTTAGAGGAAGGTTTTACAGCAGAATAAAGACGGCAACGTATCCTATTGCCTAACGTCACGTGGATAAAACGTTCCCTGGATAGAATGCATGAGAGGCGGGGTTAACGCCAGGTTATAGAGACCCGGTACCTGGGTCGCCAAGACGCCGTGAAGTCACTCACACTATTGTTTGTATTTTGTCTGTCTTTCGCCGTGTCCTCGCACTGTATGTGATATAAACCAGCCTCCATGTAAATCCTCATTAAATTGTCTTTATTGGACTCAATACATAACTGGCATAGTAAAAAGAAACAATAAAACGTGTTTTATACATAAATAAATAAATAATCATAATCAATGGTGCATATGAAACACATTAACATATACAGCTGATTTATTTAAACTTATTATTCTGAGAAATCATTTGGTGCCAAGCGAGTGCTCACCTTGCCAAATCCAATCTGGGCCTGTGGAATAATATCATTGGGAGTAATGGGTGTATCTAGTTAACCCAGCAATTGGCCCGTTCAGCTGGGGGGCAGAACGTCGTCAGCCGTGGAAATGTGAACGATGAAAGTTTTGGCCGGGAGCCTTCTTGGACAATCCCTCAAACATCTTTGAGTCATTGAAAACTGGTTAACGTTGGGGCAGAGATTAAACAAATTTCTTCTTAATGGGAAACTGACTGCACGATAAGGCAAGAGAGCGAACTTGCAGGCAGGGGCCTAGTGGACAACAAGCTAACTATCAGCTGTTAAGACGGCTAATGAGGTGTTTTTTTGCTCTAATTAGGACTAATCCACTTGGATCCCCCACCCATTGGCAGCCGATGACATGCACTCTGCGTGGCTGTACACAGAATCTGAGATAATGCGTTAGCTGTGGAATGTAATATGGCAGCTGAGCAGGTTTGTTCTAAGCGCACCGACAAATACATTTTCCCCAGAGTTGACAATTAATTACAGGTCTGAGGACAGCCATTCATTTTTAACAGCAGTCTCAAATTAAACATATTTTTTTCATTGTGTTGTGTATGATGAACATGATATAATCTGTTATTAAGAATAAACTAGAACTGCCAGTTCAGCCGTATTTTTCTGGATACATGCCGCTGATGGTCAGCACCTATAAAATGCTGTCTTGTAGTATGAAGCATTCATATGGTGCAGGAAAGACATGCATTTAACAATAAGGAAGGAATAAGAAAGAATTGAGTTAAATGAGGTGCAGATTCCCTTTCTGCAGAATTTGAATGCCACATACAATAGGAAATGCTGACATCATATTCATCAATAAATGACACAGTGTAAATCTCCACCATAAAAATATTAACAAGAGTTAAAAGATTAGTGCGGCATATTTACCAAACCTACCGGTTCTAACAGCAGAGAATATAGACCAGAATAATGGAGACACACAATTCGCATTGTAATCTCAATCAATCCCTTTCATACACCCAGGCTGATAACAGCAGGATTTAAACCTTAGTTTAACCTGTTATAGTAACTAAAAGGTTATAATCAGTGTCTGCATGAATCGCTAACAGTAAGTTTATAAATATAAGCATGAATCATGGTGAATGTGTTTTAACTGCTAACAATGCAACAAAGGTGACAATGACAGTTCGACCCTCTGTGATACCTGCAGTAGGAATACGGAGTTCACTGAAGAATGTTTTTATGCATTGCCTCCTCTTGGAGTCTGTTGATATCCACAGCCCGTACTGGGAGAGTGTCAATATCCACGGCTCGTACTGAGAGATTGTCAATATCCATTGCCCATACTGGGAGAGTGTCAATATCCACTGCCCGTACTGGGAGAGTGTCAATATCCACTGCCCGTACTGGAAGAGAGTCCATATCCACTGCCCATACTGGGAGAGTGTCAATATCCACTGCCCGTACTGGGAGAGTGTCAATATCCACTGCCCGTACTGGGAG